AAAGAGTGACTAGGGCGTACACGGTAGAGGTGCAGACCGCTAGTGTCTTTTATGCGCAGAGTCTTATCCTCTTGCTCTTTAGGTCCATTGACCCTCTCTTGAGCCTTGAAGCAGTCAAGCATGGACACACTATATCAGCTGTTGGAGTGGAACCCTGTACAGGTAGGCTCTACTTTTCAGCAGGCACAAGATTCATGTCCACTTCTAGCTGATTGCGTATGTCGCATACTCTTTTTCTACTGCAAGGCTAAAACAGTCCAGCTAGCTCTGACAACTTAAAAGAAAACTACGGTGCCATGTACTTACCTAATCCGGTGTGTTTCACACTTCAGAGAAGGTAATCTCATAGTTACTAAATACAGTGAGGGAGCAATAGCTGACTCACCTCAAGTACAAAATCAAAACGATAATGTACCTCGGCTGGAGACTGTACCTTTCGCAGGCGGAGATACCATGTACCGGCGCTCACTAGCTCTTTATGGCCTGAGCTAAATCAAACTAAAAGGGAAAGCGGCTTTTTCTCTACAGAGACCTATAAAAGAATCAAACGACACTCGCGTAACAAAGAACTAAAATTTCAAGACCGCACAATGCAATGAATTAAGATGCCTTGCAAAATGCAAGGAGCGTACGGTCCGAGGAATAATCTTCTCGTGACGTGGTCTCGACCGCTTTCATTCACAGACAAAATAAACTGCATCAAAAGGACTCTCTTTCACATTCACATCAAAAACACAAGAAGGAGATACCGGCAAATGTATGTACAAAACTTGCACTACAATTGCAAATCATGAAATGACTTAATCATCAACCATGACTGGTTGTCCATTAGAGGTCATCTCAGAAAAAGCGGCTGTGATAGATATCATCAGTTATGCAAAACTGTCCATACCTATCTGCATGCTAAAGCGTATAAACCTGGAATGCAGGAGTATCTTCTTTGATAAAAAGTTTCTCCTCATTGCAAACCAGAATTTATTAAAACTTCAGCCTGGCAACTTAAAGTCAAGCCTGGAAGCAAAGTATCAACTGTAACCAGAAGTATCTTCACTTCCTAGCCATCATTTAAATTTCAGCCTTCGCTCAGGAATTATGCCGCTGCAAACGATGAAGTTGCTTGATCAGAAGTTGGCGGCCTTCCTTTCTTTCTATTCTGCTTTTGTCTCTCCTTCCTCCGCAAGTTCGCCTCTTGAAGCGTTGCTCCCATGCGATACTGTCTTCTGTCTCCAGATGAAAAGGAAGCTGGTCTGAGTGAAATAAACATTGGACCATGACTGTCCTCGTCAGTGGGCCTTGAGCACATAACCTCTGTGTCAATCATAGCAAAGTTCTCTGAAAAATTACAGATGAACTCCTTCGTGCTCACTGTGGAATTTTCATATTCCTCTACACTCATTGAATGACCCCATTCAACAATGGTAGACAAACATGTATCGCCAAGCTGTGATCCTTGGTATTCTTCTTTCTCAACAGTAGAGTATTCTTCCCAGAGTTTGTCAAAGTAATCTTCACACTTCTTGAGGACCTGTGAAGTTGAACTGTAAAAAGTTCTGGGAATAGGTGCTTTGATACCAGGATCTGCTTTTACACGGGCTTCTGAAAACCTGCGGATCCAATGCTGCATGGTGCTGTAATAGTAGTTAGCCATTGGCTGCCTTTTGTACCCAGACATTCTGTAGGCCAAACTATTTGCATCACCAGAAATGATGTCCACCTCATAGACAAAACACTCGTAAAGCATCAGTGCTGTCTGTTCTCCTGTCAGTAGGTGGGCATCCACAGCACAGTGTGTATCAACATGATAATTACAGACTCTGATGGTATGCATGTTCGCTCGAGTAAGTGGAACACGCTTGTCTTCAGGACCATAGTCATCAAATTCAAAGTCTGCATCCTTGAAATCTTGACGAGGCCTTGTTTCTCCAAAACAAATCTCGTAGATAGCCCAAGTTACATCACGCTGTTCACAGTGACCAAGTTCTTGATCATGTCCAGCAATGATCTTAACATATCCACCTGGTGCCAATCTAGCCATCACTGCAAGATTCTCCCAATCATTGAAACAAACTGTCCAATTCTTTTGCTCAATAAATTCCTTGGCAGGAACAAGAAGATGAGCTTCCTGGAGAATCACGACATGTGCACGTAAAAAGAAGAGCATGTTGAAGAAAAGGTTGTTCTCAAATTGCTCATTCTGAAGTGACATGGCGCTCTGTTTGCGTGGCCTCATTGCACCATCAAGTCCTTGGAGAAACCTTGGTGTGGTGTACTTCTGACCACGAACCATGTTGCCATAGTTCCAGGATAAAAATGTCAAGGACTCTGAGCTGGCCAATAAATTAGTTCCATATGGTTCTTCTATTCTTCCCTTGAGGAACCTTCTGCACAGCTCTTCATAGAAGGTGACAAAGTCCCAACTGGGTCCCTTGGGACCATATGATTCCAGTTCCTTCTTGAGTTCCTTTTTCGTATCCTCCAATTCTTCTCGAGCATGACCTGCCCTTTCAAGGGCCTTTGGATCGACTTGATACCTGCCATCCAAATAGATGATGCGGTCATCATTGATGAAGAATCTCTTCAAATCATGCCTTGGTTCATGTTCATAACAATCAGGTGGAGGTACTGGACAGACATTTTGAATGGATCGAACAAAATCATTCTCGTTGATCCTTGACTGATAATGAGGATGGGAAATCTCACCTTTTCTGAAACAAACATGATTCAGCAATCTTGCATGAGTTTCCCTGAAGCGTAGTTGATAAAAGCCAATACCTGGATCTCCTGTAAGCTCTCCAAGCAACTTCAAAGGTGAAGTATGCAACTCATAGGTATTGTTAGCTTTTGTTGTATCCTTTTCAACAACTACTTCAGATGGAAAAGATTCTTGGACTTCAGCCTCCAATTTCTTCTCTCCATCATCCTCTCTGACCTCTTTTATTTTCTCCACCGCCTCTTTCTTCTCTTCCATGGTTGCATCATCCTGAACTTCTTCATGAAAATGAGGATCAGGAATCTTATTCAGGCGGCTTTTCTTAGATTTTCGCTGACCTG